CTCCCATATATATGGTCGTGTGTCGGCTTCGACCCGACATTTTCTGCGATCGTCTGGCTCTCGTCTATAGGCTGAAGGGCTTGGTGCTAGGCTTTTGCGACGTTGTGGAGTCTTGCTTCTACCCGACGTGCGTCTCTACTCCCTTCACGTTTGATCGCAACTGTCAGCTTCATCGAACTCTCTGCTTCGCGTCTGGTTTCGTTCGCCCATCGCGTCTAGTTTCGTTCGCGACTGTCTGCTTTGATGGGTACAATTCCTCCTCTTTCGGTTGAACCAGGGAAAGTCACATTCGCCCATGTGCTGGGTAACCATCTGGAGAAGTCGGCTGTTGTCTTCCCGCCGTGTTATAAGGAATGTCGTGATGGTACAAATGACTGTCATTTTGTTAAGAATGTGAGTAAAAAGGTTGGGAAAACAACTCTTTTTTCTGATTTAGAAATCCCAACCTTGACTGAGAACTGTAAGTTCATTCTTATCAAAAAATTTAAGTGGGGGCACCCCATTATGAAAGTTATTAGAAAGAATTTTTAAGATCTCAGCCTAGTACGAAAGTGGAAAGTGGGACTTTTTGATGGGAGACATGTGTTGATTCAGTTAACCAAGGATGAAAACTGCACTCAGATTTTCTCTAAAAAATATCTTAACATAGCAGAAAAGTCTATGAATTTGCTCAAGTGGTCTCCTGATTTTTGACACAAGACATGATTCTCCTACTGTACCAGTATGGTTTAGTTTACATGGTCTCAAGCTATATCTATTTAATCATCAGGTTCTCTACTCTATTGGGGCCATACTTGAGGATCCTATGAAGCTATATCTACCCACCATCAATTTGACCAAACATTCTGTTGTCAAAATACTTGTGTAAAGGAATATTATTTTAGCTGATATTACAGAAGTCTGGCTAGGTACAATACATAATAGATATTAACAACAAATTGTCATGAAACATAGACCCTTTTATTGTACCCATTGTAAGATGTATGGGCATCCCCTCGACAAATGTCACAGGCTCTACCCTAACTTGAAACCTAAAGCTCGAATAAATAAGGATGAGTCTAACCCCACTGCTCTGGACACATCTGCTCCACCTATGAAGGGATTTACCACAAGACAGGGGTTGGTGTTTGATTTGATTGCCACTTGGGACCCCCCTCCAGACAATACTGTTTATGTTACTATGATTGATGTGATGTCGGATGGTTCTGCCGTGCAACGTACAACTTCAAATATTTTTGAAATTAATACTGAAGGATCCTTACCCACAAGGGACAATGTTCGAACTGATGTTCAGGATAGTCTTGTAGCTCATTTTCAGGAAGCAGCAGGTGCAGAGGAGACACTTCAGACTTCATACACACTAGAACCTATCTTTGTTGGAAATCTTTCTACTGTAATTCTACCACTTCATCAGAACGAGCAAGTTGTTACTATTAGTCAGGCGCAAGGAGCTCATCAGATTATACATGCCCGACATTCTGTTGACCAATACGCTGATCAGATGAGCCAGTCTTCAAATGAAGAATGACATGTTTACACATCCAGGTGGAAGAAAAAAAATGAAGGCATTATCACGCTCAAGAACTTAATGGATGACATGTTGGTTACTTCGGGTAATGGCATGCATCTCACCAATTTGTTAGTCGACTCCCTTCCTAGGACTAGAAGCAGAGGCAGGACTAAATTCACTCGCCTCTAATCTGCGTTTTGGCAGTTTTTTGTTTTTTTAGCTTACATGCACCTTCATTTTTTGGGATTTTGTGTGCATCGTACCGTGTGGGCGGGTGTCTTTTTTGGGCCCACGCACACAACCTATATGTATCTTTTCCATTTTAATATATTTGCCATTGGGATTTTTTAAATATACATACATACATACATACATATATATATATATA